GACTATGTGTCGCAAGCAACAGCGCCATCATCACCATTGTACAGCGTAATATAGTGAAGCAAACTTCACTGATCGCTGCCAAACTCATAATACATACAAGATACATGAGAGTGTGTAAGGACAGGGATTGGACTTACTTTTGGGGACGGGAAAAGAAAGCGAACCTCTATGGTCAGCACACAAAGTATACAGTCCAATTGTGCATACACACTATTTCAAGCATTCTGATCTGATAAGAATTGACAGCAAGATCGCCATTGCTATTGATTTGCTGTCACGACCTTCAGTGTCTCCAACCACGCGGTTACGGAATCTGTTGGACCACAACCCGGAAGACGCCTACTCCACCTAATCGCTCTGTGCATTTCGTCATGCCTCGTCTCCACGTCATCTGCTGACCTCCACACGGCTTCCGCCAGTCTAAAACAGCCACTGCAAATAAGGCGCGCTGCGGTAGGCGACTCTCTGACACATGACCAATGGAGTCTATTGAGCTGAATTCGTTGCGATAGCGAGTTCGTGTTCGATGCATTCCCAAACACCCGACGACCTACTTCTAAATTACTAACCCGCTCACTCCATTCCACTTGGGCCAGGCTACGTAAGCATCGATTACCGAAAACCAAAAAAGGGCGGTTATCTCTTTTGATGCGCTATCATTGTTGGTCACGCAGCTACCCAAGTACGAGAAGCAGTTAGCTTGAGTTAAATCCTGACCGTCTAGTTTCAGAACCGAACTCAGCGACACCCAGTCTTGCAGCATCACTTTTCACTTTAAAGGTGCAAAGCACATGCCGAACGGAACGACAGAACTTGATAATCTGTCAAGTGCTCTTCGTGCATCCTCCATAGATTCAAACAAGCAAACTATACCGTCAGCATACTCCAAATCGCACAGCTTTTCTCCAGCTGCCCATTCAATACCTAAGTTTTGGAGACCACTGAGTGCATTCTCCAGCATTTCGTCTATGACGAAATTGAACAGGAATGGCGAAAGAGAGCACCCTGGACGTACACCGCTGCTAGTTACGAACGACTTACTCAGCTCACCATAGCCCCTTAAGCTACCAGAAGTTTGCGAGTAGAGTGAACTCAGTATGTTCACATGCTTCTACGACTTTCCTTTGCGAAGGAATGAACCCATAAAGGATTCAGGGTCGACTGAGTCGAAGGCTCCTTTTAGGTCAAGGAACAAGACAACCGTTGGTCGACGATGTGTATGGCGTAGCTCAAGGACTTGACGCAACGTGAAGATTTTATCGATACAATCACGGCCTGACCGAAATCCTACATGCTGTTAGCGGATGTTTGTTTCCGTAGACGGTCTCAGACGTTGAAGTATGATGGAGGCTAGAAACTTGGTGACGTTGGGGATCAAACTTATCCCACGGTGGTTTGCACAGTCGTTGCGAGATCCCTTCGTGAAAACTGGAAAAATTAGTGATTCGCTTCAATATGATGGAATGCGCTCGTGTCACCAGATGTTACGCATTAAATTATTAATGGAGTCTACGAGGTCATCGCCCCCCCCCCATCTTGAAAAGAGTGGGAGGAAGCCTGTCCGGTCCTGCTGCTTTTCCTTTCTTCAGAGCTTGGATGCAAGATCGAGCTTCTGCTGCTGTAGCAGATTCAGATGACACTGCCCATGGAGCCGGAGGAGATAGTCTTGTTGGCGCCTGGCCAGCTGAACTGTTCGTTGAAGTACCCCGTCCACCGGTTAAGCCGTTGATCCCTACTGTGAATAGGTTTCCACTTTTATCGCAGATTGTCTCACTAACTGTGGTTCGCCGACCTCCCGTGTTGCGTATCGATTGCAAACAACAGCGCTCATGCATCTGTTCACACCTACAGCGTTTCCCATTGTTCAGGAGCAAATGACAACTGTTTACAAAATGCTGACATTATTGGGACTAGGACCGAGGGATCATAAACGACAATCACAAGCTCCTAAACGATCCCCAAGAGCTTTTAAATGATAAGAGGTGCTGCATTTACCATTAATGCTGCTTTATCTGGTTACTAGTCTTAGCTTTTTACTTCTTCCATTTAGTCCTTCGTTGATCGATCAAATGGTCAGCTGCAATGCAACAGAATTAGCAAAAAATAAACCGCAACAATCTTCGAAATACGGATCTGTCACGCAAAGTTAACGTTCTTAAAGAGACTAAGAAGTACTACACAGGTGTTTAGTAATGGTGAGGACTCGTCTGAAGTGCATCCGACCGAAATTCAGAAGAATTTGAATCCTGGTACGAATGATTCCAAATGCAACGCACTCCCCCTTGAGCTTAATGTGTTGTTTCATTTGCACAACTGGATATATGTATATATGCATATTTAACAGCAGTCTTTACATATACGGTGAGAAAAATAGCCATGGATTAACGAAAAATATAGAAACAGAAGCGGGAAAACAAAAAAGTCAACTTTGGGAATAACATTTTTTTGTTAACTGCACGTCATTTTTAGCTTTTTTGTTTATTTCTGGGGTCGCACACAGGAAAGGATGTATTCACGCTACTGACTTCGGTTCGATGCCATATCACGCAGTTTCTAGTCAAAGACAATCTGAACCCTTGGGGGCCCCGGCCGGGGAGCGGGGAAGCCCCAACGGAAGTCAGATTCGAGCACAATACCTTTAACCCTCTACGCCACAACAAAGCCTGCCCACCTCGGTGTTTCTTCCAGCGCGGACCGATGTCTGCGAATAGTGCACGGAATGGTAGACGTTGCTAAATGGACATCATTTCGTCGTAACTAAAGGGTTCCCACCTCTTCTACTGTACATCACACTATTGTGTTATTGTGGGTCGAGTAAGATGAGCTTTACCAAGATAAGTTGTTGCGCTTGGAGAAACAGTTGCTATAACGAATCGGGATGGGTTGGCTATACTGGTTGGGAAGTACTTCGCATCCCGTATGAAGTTGCCTTAACAAGGTTGAGGAAACCACGCGGTTAACAAATAATGTGCAGAAGAGGGCACTAAGAATTGAAGGAAGAGATTGCACACAGGTGTTTCTCGAATTCCGAATTGGAGTTCAAAGGACCGCGTAACCATTAGTTTGAATATGGTAGAGAGAGAGAGATAAACAGCTGTACTGTTTTTCGTTATTTCCAACCAGGAATATGGTATATGTCACATCTGTTTTCTTCCAGAATGTATTAAAAATCA